AAACCCACGCACTTTAAATATTAACTCACAGACTTTAAGTTTCAACAACTACTGACATTAAGTACAAAACTCACGCACATTAAGTACAAAACTCACGCACATTAAGCACAAACATCCCGCACATTAAGCACAAAACTCACCCGCACGAGAACCTAAATCTATATATATATATATATATATATATATATATATATATATATATATATATATATATATATATATATATATATATTGAGAAAAAAAAATAAAGATACATATACTTGGGAGATACAAGATATAGGATTGATCATTGATATGTAATTACATATACATAAGTTTGAATACAAAATTTTGTGTAATTTTTGTGCACTAGTACAATTTATACAATATTATATCTATTTCGAGAGTCTTCTGAGATTATTGTCTACTGAAATTAAAGAGTAAAGAGAAAAGTTATTATTGAAGGAAAGATGAAAGATCTCAAAAACAAGATGTCAAAAATTGAAGTTGTAACACTAGTCATCATCAGCTCCGGGATCGGATCATCATCACTTGGCAGGATGCATGGGATCAGATCAGGACTGATCGAAAACTTGGTCCGGCAAGTGTCACTCTACACGAGTGGGGTTCGCCACTACGAATTACGATTTTAAGAATCCCAATACGAAATAAGATTTTTGTGTATCTCCGGGCAAAACGTGTGTTGAGTAGGGCCCACAACAGCAAAACACGGTTTGAAGGACCCCACTACAAGTCACGATTTTTAGTGGGTTCCATGGCAAAATGCTGTTTGAGTGGGGCACAACACCACAAAATTAAAGCATGATTTTAAGCGATAAACATGTCACGGAACATTGTTGAAGTGGATCCCACTTCAGATAAACGTTGTAAAAATTCTTAAAGACACCATTTAATTGGTACCACAATTTCAAAATATGATTTTAGGGGATACTGTGTTAAAATCAAATGCTTATGAATGTATATATAAATGATGGAAGATTTAAAAAAATTCATTAATTACATGCATGTAATTAAATTGACATTTAACATTCATGATAGATATAAAATATATGTCCTTGAATGAAAATGTTAAAAAAAATAAAATCACTAGATGTAGTTAAATAATTAATGTTGTTGGAATCTATTAAATGAAAATAAATTATTTATTTATTTTTTTAATCGGGATTACTAATTAGGGGAGAAGTGATTAGATCACCATATTAGTAGAAGAATTAATTAGGAAATTCTTTTTTTTTTTTTTAAATTAGGAAATTCTATAACTGTTAGGATTTTAAAATTTTAAAATACTATATACAGGCATCTGGTAATTTTTTTAAAATACAAGAGGCCTATATATAGTATTTCGAAATATTAAAATATTTCTTAATTATTTCTCTTTCAAATATAGTAATTCAATTAATTCTTCAATATTGTAAAATCATATGTATTCTAATTGCAGGAAAGTAATGTGAATAATATAATAGTGTACAGTAAAGTATAGAGAAAATGAGAAACAGAAAGTAATATCAATCCTTTATTAATACAATACAATTTATACATGATATCCAAGTTTCAGTATAATTACAATTTTATAAAGGATGAAGAGGCAGATAATCATAACATAAATCCTCTAGTAATGTCTACATATATTTATTTACAAAACTCTTCTTAGACATTACTATATCATACTAAATGGAAAAGAATCCAATGAGGAAAAGAGTACATATATAATATATGTGTATTCATGTGTTGCACTAGCTGTCTCGTTAAAAATATTTAAATAAAAAAATTATATCAAAACTCAATGAAAAGAAAAAGGAGTATAGTTGTTGATCTTTAGGACCTAAATATTCAAAATTGATTAAGTAAATGTTACTACGTCTAAAGATAACAATCTTAGCTTCAAAGCCTACACGTTCTAGCTAATATAATAAGACCAATGTCGTATCTCTTTGTTAAAAAAATAAAAAAAAAGATGCGATATCGATGCCGGTTAAGAGAGAGAACCAACATTGTATCTTAATTAAATTAAAAAAATGGATTAAAAATAGACAGGACCTCAGTTAGAACATATAACCCACGTTAAATCCTAATTATTTTATACATAAAACTGACATATATACTCTGTTTATATGAAAAAAAAAAAAAGAATTAAATATCACTAAATAAAATAATCTGTCTAATAGAAATCTCAATGTGAATATAGAAAATATGAGATATAAGATTTATATCAATGTGATTTTTTTTTTTTAATAATATAAGATCGATATAACGTTGGGTTTTTGCAGAACTGACATTATATCATGTGAATACAAGAGAGGAGTTTATGACATAAAGCACCACCAACCTCAGTGAAAGTGACTTGTAATTAGTAGAGATGGATAACATAACATATAAAGCCTATGTGATATATAATTTACATAAGAGTGGATGCACTATGTATAATTGTATGAAAGTTTGTACAAGAGAGGAGTTAATGACATAAAGCACCACCAACCTTATGAGTAAAACCTTCACCATAAACTTCATAACATCTAACTTATTTTTGACATGACAGAATAAATTACACTTATAAAAAAAAAAAGAAAAAAAAAAAGAATAGCAAACCAACCATAGTTATCAACGGATCATTATTGTACAAGAGAAGAGTTTATGACATAAAGCATGCACCACCAACCTTATGAGTAAAACCTTCACTATAAGCTTCATAACATCCAACTTATTTTTGACATATGACAGAATAAATTACACTTAAAAAGAAAAGAAAAAAAATAGCAAACCAACCATAGTTATCAACGGATCATTATTGTGTGGACTATGGTCCACGCAACTGTGTGGACCATACTATCAAATACTACCTCCGTCCCATTTTATGTGTCTTGGTTCGGTTAACGAGGCTTGACTGAAGTTATTATTAATCTAATTTTTCATAATAGTAAGTTTAATATTTGTATACAAAATTTATATATTTAGAAACTACACTAAAAGTACTATTAAACACAAAAATTTAAATTTAAAAATAAGTGAAGAATACTAAAGAAAAAAAAAAAGAGTTGGTTTGACCCAATAAATAGTAAGTAGGACAGTTAAAATGGGACAGAGGGAGTAATGTACATTTAGTATATTAAAAATGTACATTATATTCAGAAAAAGTACATTATTTGAACACTGAAAATACATTATTTTATATAATGTACATTCAGTACACGAATAATGTACTTTTAGTATATAAAAAATGTAATTTTGTTATGGTCCACACAACACTGTATGGAACATGGTTCACACAATAATTTGACCATGAAGGCCGGGGATTTAGGTGCTCATAACCTGGCCGTCCCCTTAGGCTTTCCTCCTCGAAACTGACCTCCTCTTTATATTTCACCTTAAAGGGTTGGAGCTCATCTTCGATCATCATACAATATTATCCAAACAACGGTCTTAATTGTTTCATCGCAAATGGTATAGCCACCTGTGTAACATGAAAAGCAATATAATTACATTTAATAATTAAAAAAAAAAGCATAAAGCAAATAATAGAGAAATCTTTGTCAATTGTATGCCTCACAAGAAAAAAAAAAAAAAAAAAACACATACCATTCAAGATTTATAGCCATAAGCTTTGATCTGGCTTTCCTCTCACTCCATGCTATGCTCTTTCTATCTCTCAGTCACTCTTTTTCGGAAGGTCGGCGATCAGAACATTAGAAAAAAAAAGAAAAACACATTTCACAAAACGCGATATAAAGGTATATATTTGAGTGGGTTCAAACCCAAAATGCGGATGGAGTGAGGCCCACCACTACTGGGCACGACTTTAAGAATCTCAATATATACAAAACATGATTGTGTGGGTTTCCTGGCAAAACATCATTTGAGCAAGTGGGGCCGACCGTTACAAACCTCGATATGATTTAAAAAATGTCAATACAAAACACGATTTGAGTGGGTCCCTTGAAAAAATGTCATTCTAGTGGGACCCACCACTACAATGCATGGTTTTAAGGATCTCAATACAAAACACGATTTGAGTGGGTTCTTGGCAAAACGCCGTTGGAGTGGGGCCCCCCACTCCAAAGCATAATTTTAAGAATCTCAATACAAAGCACTATTTGAGTGGATCTCTGGGCAAACCACCGGTTAAGTGGGGCCTACAACTTCAAAACACGGTTTGAAGGACCCTACTACAAGTCACAATTTTAAGAATCTTAATATTAAATATGATCTGAGTGAGTCCCCTGGCAAAATTCCGTTTGAGTGGGGCTCACCACTGCAAAGCATGATTTTAAGAAACTCAATACAAAACAGGATTTAATCGCATCTCTTGGCAAAACATAGGTTGAGTGGGGCCCACAACCAACAAAACATGGTTTGAAAAACCCACTACAAGTCACAACTTCAAGAATCCCAATAAAAAAATACGATTTGAGTGGTTCCTTCGCAAATCGCTGTTTCAGTATGGCTCACCAGGCCACTACAACGCATGATTTTAAGAATCTCAATACAAAACACGATTTTAGTGGATATCCTGGCAAAATACAGGTTGAGTGAGGCACATAACTATAAAACATGGTTTCAAGAACCCATCCAATACAAGTCACGATATTAATAATCCCAATACAAAATATAATAATTTGAGTGTGTCCCTGATAGAATGTGGTCTGAGACTCTGAGTGGTCTCACTAATTAAGTGCTAAACATGTCACATGTCATTGTTCAAGTGGACCCACATTCCACAAACGTGCTAAACATTCTTAAAGACACAATTTATGTGGTATAAAAATTACAAAATACAATTTTAGGGAATACTGTGTTATAATCAAATATTTATGAATGTATATATAAGTGGAAGATTGAAAAAATTCATTACATGAAAGACGCGGTTTGGAAGCTGGATCCGGATAGCGCAGTGGGGCCAGATGGTTTCTCGGGCGCTTTTTTCAGAAGCTACTTGGACCTTTTAAATGAGGATGTTTTTTGGGCAGTGACAGACTTTTTTTATAGGGGTACCAATCCCCCGAGCTATGGCAAGTTCACAAATAGTGCTTATCCTGAAGAAGGACAATCCGGAATCATTCGCTGGTTATAGGCCGATTTGTCTTTGTACCTTTATCAGCAAGGTTTTCACGCGAGTTTTATCCTCAAGACTGGCCATGGTCCTGCCGAAGCTGATTTTTGCAGAACAGGCTAGCTTTATACAGGGCCGCAGCATTCAGGATAATGTCCTTCTGGCCTTGGAGTTAATGCAGTATATCGACAAGAAATGTCGTGGGATGAATGTCGTGGTAAAACTTATATGATGAAGGCTTTTGATCGAGTATCCTGGCCTTTCCTACAGGAAGTGCTCGAAAAATTGGGTTTCCCGACGAGGTTTGTGGATCTTGTTATGCGCAATTTGCAGGCAACGAGACTATCAATTCTAGTTAACGGCGTAAGTTGCGGGTTCTTTCAGCCAACCTGAGGAGTCAAGCAGGGCGATCCACTATGGCAATAGTTATGCTGTGCAACCGAATGCACCATGCGCATGGTGCATACGATGCAAAACGACGTCGTTTTGACTAATAACGCGCGTCCCACTTTAAAAAAAAATCAGGTTCGATTCTAGGCAATAGCATTATTGTGGATATATAGTTATGAATTTCTGGATATATAGTTATGAATTTCTGGATATATAGTTATAAATTTATGGATATTTAGTTCATTCATTGTGGATATTTAGCATTCATTGTAGATATTTACTTCATTCATTCACTGTGGATATATAGTTATGAATTTATGGATATATAGTTATGAATTTCTGGATATATAGTTATGAATTTATGGATATTTAGTTCATTCATTGTGGATATTTAGTTCAATCATTGTGGATATTTAGTTCATTCATTGTGGATTTTTACTTCATTCATTCACTACGGATATATAGTTGTGGATTTTTACTTCATTCATTCACTGTGGATATATAGTTATGAATTTGTGGATATATAGTTATAAATTTATGGATATATAGTTATGAATTTATGGATATATAAAAATGCTATTGCCGGAAATCGAACCTGATTTCTTCTTTAAGTGGAACGCGCATTTTTTTAACTAAAACGACGTCGTTTTGGACCGAATGCACCATGCGCATGGTGCATTCGGTTGCACAGCATAATTTGCGCCACTATGGCCCCTCCTATTTATTCTTGCCTCCGAAGCACTATCCCGCTCTACTTTGTTAAAATTGGGAACAGGATTGTTTTCACCTTATGTCACAGCTCCAAGTTGCCCGGTAATCACCCACCTGGCGTTCGCGGATGACATAGTAATTTTTGTTAATGGATCTGTGGCCTCCCTCAAAGCTCTCGCAGACGTTTTAACTCAATATCAGGAAGGATCAGGCCAAATAAACTATAACAAAAGTTTTTTTTGTCACTTCCAGGAATTGCACGCGTACCTGAGAAAACACCATGTCGAGGGTGCTGGGAATGCAACAATCTACTTTGCCATTTCGCTATCTTGGAATTAATTTATTTAAAGGTAGGAATCGGCCATTATATTATATGCATCTCCTTGAAAAGGTGGAGGCAAGACTCCAAGGCTGGCAGCGGAAATTACTGTCACCGGGAGGCAGATTGGTGCTTATTAAACATGTAGACCGAACGCTCGCTGGAATTAAAATTCGCGAATTTTTTCTGGGGAATGGACAGTGGCAGGCCAAAGAGACACTGGATTTCGTGGAGGAATTTATGCCTGCCTGAAGCTGAGGGAGGACTGGGAGTTCGGTCCCTAGCCACTATCCAGCAGTCATCCTCAGCGAAATTGCTTTTTGTTGAGATAAGGCTGAACCCCAACCTTAAGGGCCCCACACACCCCGGCCCGACAGAGCATTTTTGGGAGGATGTAAATCATGGTGACTCAACTGAACATGAACCATAGAGGCTAGACCGGTGCGCAGTGCCCCCCTCACTTTGAGAGGTTGCTCCCACACTGCCGCTGGTGAGACTCGATCCCTGGTCATTATTATTCCAAAGTGTCACCTCTATGACCAGTTGAGCTACCCATGCGGGCACAATTCTTATATTCATAGTGATGGTAATGGTGGTGACACTACCACTTAGGGATACAACCAATATATTTATAGGCATCTACCCGCATGGGTCTACCCGTTTCACTCCTACTCCTAGTATTAGACAAACTCTTATTCCTAATCCATATATGAGACAAACTCAACAATCTCCACCTTGGCAAATATGCTCTTTTGGAGAAAAGATAACTCAACAAACCTCCACCTTGACGAATATACAATGGGTCTACCCGTTTCACTCCTACTCCTAGTATTAGACAAACTCTTATTCCTAATCCATATATGAGACAAACTCAACAATCTCCACCTTGGCAAATATGCTCTTTTGGAGAAAAGATAACTCAACAAACCTCCACCTTGACGAATATGCTATTTAGGAGAAAAGACTTATCTCACCATCTCCATCTTCACATATATGCCCTTTAGGACATGATGGATTATATGAACCCGGGGGTCCGGATTATACAACCCGAATATATGTTTGAATATGATGAACGAATAATAAAACGGTAAATATTGTATTAATTGGACATAAAATGCTATTACAGAGGTTCGGGGCGTGTAATAACAGTATAAATGTTGTAAGAAAGTATAAGATAGGAATCAAGTGTCCCTTGTTAGGACAAAGGGAGGGGTTTTTATATGCTACAACCCTCTAACCGGTCCCCCTAAACCGGGAGATGGTTGGATCTGACGCTTTGACCGCGTCCTAGCTCAGGACCGGGTCCAAAGCGTGGCCCGGGGTACGCGGGAGGAGTTGCAACTGCCGTCGCACGACTCGGACAACGCGGGGACCCCGTCCTGGCCGAGCCGACCCCAAAGGGTGGCCGACCCGGGGTGCGCCGGCCGACCCCGTGGTGGCCGGGCCTACGTAGGCCGACCCCGGGGTGCCGAGCCCATGTTGGCCGACCCCGGGGAGGTTCGTCACTCCGTGTGCACAGTAGTCGGGAACCCCATGATAGTAGCCGGGGACCCCGTGATAGTAGCCGGGGACCCCGAGATAGTAGCTGAGGACCCCGTGGTAGTAGTTGAGGACCCCGGGGAGGTAGACCCCTCCATGGTCTGTCCGGCCGCGTGCGTAGTCCACTCGGTGCCGAGTGTGATCCGCTCCATATTTCTTCGCTCCAGGTCCGCTCCGTAATTATTCCACCATCAGTCCCCCACTCTCGGGGCTGCGAGAAGTCGTCAGCCCGAGAGAGTACCAAAGCCGCTTGATAATTACGGACCCCCATCGTGTTTTAACGTTTCATCCTTCGTCCATGCTTGCTGTTGTGCAAGCTGTACCCCGAGCGGCGTCCATGGAGAACGTGTTGGAGACCTTTCAGGCTCAGCTAGTGGGCCGAGATGGGGAGTCGCAAAGAGTTGGAGACGGCGCACAAGGCCATGGGGAGCAAGCCTGCGGCGTTGGAGGGCAAGTATGCCGAGTTGATTGCCAGCCATGTGCGGGAGCGCTGGGCGCATGAGGAGGCTTCGAAGGCAGTCGTGTCGAGCTACAAGGACTCCGAGGTGGGCTCTGAAGGCAGCCATGTCAAGCTACAAGGACTCCGAGGTATTCATCAAGGATGTGAATGCCCACCTCGCCGAGCATGCGATGGAGACCTTTGGGGACCTTCTACGCGACCCCGTTGGGAAAGGGCTCGTGGCTGTGTAGGGGTTGTAGATGTACAATGTGGGAGAGTATGTGATGCAGCGTAGGGTTTAGTTCGTTCTTTGCAAGAGAGACAAGACCCTCGACCCCGTAGCGTGGGGTCTCCCGGCTGACCTCGGGAACCCGGAGTCACCAGCCGACCCAATGGAGGTGGCCAATGGAGATGTTCATCTGACTTCCCCTCGGGGCTCGGCCACGGACCTTCCGTCCAATCCGGACTTGATTTCAGACCTTCCACATGGTGCTTGTGATGATGTCCCTTTGGAGCGGATTCACATTGACCCCGTTGGCGTTGAGGTTCTCCTTCAGCCGGGCGATGGGGGAGACGCGGCTCATCCGTATGGCGATAGGCGAGATCGGACCTCGTACCGCTCCTAGGGTGCACCGCGAGGCCGGCCGAGAACTCTTCAAGAGGTCGGCCGAGACCCCCTCGAGAGGTCGGTCGAGACCTCCTCGAGAGGTCGGCGGGGACCTCCCCGAGAGTTCGGCGGAGACCTCCCAGAGAAGTCGGCCGGGACCTCCCCGAGAGGTCGGCCGGGACCTCCCCGAGAGGTCAGCCGGGACCTCCCCGAGAGGTCGGCCGGGACCTCCCCTAGAGGTCGGCGGTGACCTCCTCAAGTATCGACGGTGACCTCCCCGAGAGGTCAGCGGAGACCTCCCCGAGAGGTCGGCGGAGACCTCCCCGAGAGGTCGGTCGGGACCTCCCCGAGAGGTCGGTCGAGACCTCCTCGAGAGATCGGCGGGGACCTCCGCGAGAGGTTGGCGGGGACCTCCTCGAGAGGTTGGTGGGGACCTCCTCGAGAGGTCGTCGGAGACCTCTTCGAGAGGTCGGCGGAGACCTCCCCGAGAGGTCGATCGAGACCTCCCCGAGAGGTCGGTCAAGACCTCCCTATTGAGGTCGACCGAGACCTCATCGAAAAAGTCTGCCAAGACCTCCTTGGGAAGTCGTCCGATACCCTGCCGAGTGGCGAATGAGGTCGGACTTCGTACCACCCCTAGAACGTCTTAGCGATTGGGGTTGGTACGCGAGGTCGGGCCTCATACCGTCGCTAGGGTATATAGATTGCGTTACGCCCGTTCGGCGATAGGCGAGGTCGGACCTCGTACCGCCCCTAGAACGTGTTAGCGATTCTTGGGTTGGAGCCTTTTGACTCGCATCCCGAATCCTTCCGTTCGGCGATAGGCGAGGTCGGACCTCGTACCACCCCTAGGGTATTTAGATTGCGTTACGCTCGTTCGGCGATAGGCGAAGTCGGACCTCGTACCGCCCCTAGAACGTCTTAGCGATTCCGGGGTTGGAGTCCTTTGACTCGCGCCCCGAACCCTTCCGTTCGGCGATAGGCGAGGTCGGACCTCGTACCGCCCCTAGGGTGTTAAGATTGCGTTACGCCCGTTCGGCGGTAGGCGAAGCCGGACCTCGTACCGCCCCTAGGACGTTTTAGCGATTCTGGGATGGAGTCCTTTGACTCGCGCCCCGAACCCTTCCGTTCGGCGATAGGCGAGGCCGGACCTCATACCACCCCTAGGGCATGTGCTACGTCTAAGTTGGCCGTTGCGGTCCCCGCGTACGTAGCCGCCACGTCCGGCCGACCCGGCATGGCCGTCCTCAGGTCGGCCAACCCCGCGCCGGCCGACCTCGCGTTGGCCGACCCCGCGGTGCCTGAGTATCTGATCTCGCAAGTGCTCGTGCTCTTCCACCATTCGAGATAGAATAATTGCTCAACGAAATTCATTATTCCATTACGAA